CCACCCAGGTGCCCCTGAACTTTTGTTTTCTAATAGTACTAAGATTGGTGGTCTAATGGAAGGAAGACTATGATTGACATCTCAGAAAAGGCATAGGTCAAGATTGCAGGGCTTTGGAGTGGTTGGGGGTATCTGAGCAGAATCAAGAAGTGGCCTTACAGTTGAAGAGTAAACAATGGCAGGGGTGTGTGTTTTTGACTGGTGGAGGAAAATGCAGGAGGGTTTCTGGGGATCTGAGTGGAATGTATTAGACAAAGGGGGGCAAAAAAGCCAGCCTGGGTGTATACTCGTCTTGAGAGGAGCAAGAGCATTTGGGGTCATCACACACTTAAACTGGGTGCATCCACCCAGGCGCCCCTCAGTTATTTTATTATTGTAAAGGCTCCAAGGGAAGGATATAGAAGTCTTAGATATGCAATTTTTCAGGGGTTGTCAAAAGAATCTCCAGTTTTAGCTCTTCCCATTCTGCCCAAGCCCAGGAAGGGGAACCTCATTCTATAGTCATGAGGAAGAAGATAATTTCCCAGGGACGCTGAGCAGACCGGTTAGGAGCTTTTCTCCTTGAATCTACACGACAGTAATGAGCTTTTCTATGTTTTTGCCACACACACTTTCTCATCACAGAAGAAGTTAAGTTGTAGGGAGATCAAGGCCAGACCCCTATGTAAGCAGTGGACTTGGATGTTGAGGGCAGCCTTGAAAACCTGTGTTCCTTTGCCGGAGCAGAATACCCCATGTGAAAGTTCACAACCAAATCTCTCATTGGGTTTTTCGAGAGGAGTATAGAAAACAGGATTGACTTGGGAGTGCTGTAACCTAACTCCCCACGTGGCCCAGTCAAGGGCCTGAGGTGGGAGTAAGGCAAATGGTCACCACACCTGTGCTAGGCGCTTGGGGAGGCCGGTGTTGGTTTACAGAGGGTTGAAGCAGGGCTGGGCCATGCGAGGGGAGAGGACCTGAGCAATTTTGTCTTTTGTACTGGTTCTCACCGCCTTGCCCGCCCCTGGACTTGAAACACAGGCTCTTCTCTCTGCCTCAGGGAGATCAGATGTGGCAGAAAAAGTCAAGAGAAGCCGGGTTTGAATCTAAAACTTACAAAGTGTGTGGCTTTGAGCCAGCGATATAATCTTCCTTTCTGAGCCTTTGTTCTTAAGATCTGTGAAATGGGGATGTCAATAATGCCCGCTTTGGCCCACTTGAACCTGTTATCGAAAGACGCCATTTGATAGATGATGTTGTTATAATGTGATGCAAATGTAAACTTCTGCTCTGCAAAAGTTAGTTACTCCTATTTCCAGAACCTCCTCTTTGAAGTTAATTTATTCTAGAGAATCTAAGTTACTTGTTCTGCGTTCTGGGTGCTCCGTATTTTTAACTCCATCAATTATCCCGGACTTTGCCATAACTAAAGGAGTTTCTGGCAACAGCAGGAGAAAGTGTTTCTTTGGGGCAGCCTGGTGAGGGGAATGATAGTTACTTGGGCTCAGGTGATGGGTAGGGTAATAGAGTTCACCACTCCAAGGGTTGGGGGTGGGGGGGAGAGTCCCTTTTCTGTTCTGGCGACTGCTGGAGTCTGGTTATGACTCAGAAAAGCCAACTTCGGAAGAAAGAAGTGGTGGGGGTGGGGGTGGGGGAGAGGTGGTGGTAAGGAAAGGTTCTAAGATTCAGCTACATTGGCTCTTTAACCACCCCAAGCCCTCGCCACAATCAAAGCTTGGGGGGTTGTCTCTCCTCTCATTCATTTGCATTCATTTTGTAAGTATCACTGGATACTATGTGCCGGGATCACGCTGAGCCCTGGGCACATGGATGAGCAGAATGAGCCCCTTGTTGGCCTCCTGCTGCATATAGTTTGAGAGGAAGATGAGGTTAAGTAATGTGATCAGAGAGGAAGTATCAAAGAGTGCAGGGGACTTAGAACCTTAGTGTGAGGGCTTGTCATCACCCTAAGTTGCTTACAGGTGCTAAGAGGTGAAATAGGAGTTGGGCCTGGGTAGGCGGGGGCGAGCAGACAGCTCCTGGCATATGGGAAGGCACTGAGGGGAGAAAGAGAGAACAGAAAGAAGTTCAGTTAGGCTTTTGGGATTTTTTTCCCCTTCTTCTCACGGCTGTCCTTGTTACTATTTTAAATGTGACTCCATCTGGAAGACCTCTGGGTGGTTTTTGCCTAGCTTTATCTCCAGCCTGAGCTCCGGATGGCCTAGGAGGGGCAGGACAGAGGAGGCTCAAGTCTGACCATAGGCTCAAGACTTTTTTATGCAGCCATGAGTCTCATATTCCTACACAGGTTGATTTTCCTCGTGATATCACACAGCCTCGAGATCAGGGCCGTACAGGTTGGGCCAGAGGGTGATGAGGGTACTGCCTCTCTCTGTCTACATTCCCACCCCAATGTTGATGTTATTTTGGAGCCATGGAGGAAGTGGTGCGTATTTACAACCCAGATCCGGTTTTGAAGCTAGGAGGAACACCCCGCTCAATTGCACAACTTAGCTCCAACCCCTCCTAGGTGGGCTCACCTGTGGCTGCTCCCAACTTATGCTCAGGTGGGGGTCCTGAAGGGGGCAAGGCCCAATCGAGGCTGCAAAATCGGTTTTCATTTCATGTAGGAAGAAACCAATGCCTAGAGAGGCGAGATGACCAGAACAAAAATCACATGGTCACTCGGTTGCATGTCTCGAATGCCCCTCGTCTGTAATATTCCAATCTGCGGACCTTACAACTGTACTTAATTTTATCTATGTGAGTCCATCTGATACTCTGAGCAGTCTTGTGTGATAGATACAGATTAAGGTCTTTTTTCTGTAGATGAGAAAATTGAAGTTTGGGGAGTTGATGTGGCCAAGTCCTCCAAGTTAGAAAGTGGATATCCTAACTCAACATTCAGTGTGCCCTGTGGTTAGGAAGCACACACAGTCTCAGGCTTTGCCGATTCTCCACCTGAGAATGGCCTGGAATGTAGATAATGACTACAGAGGAGGGCTTTCAAGGAGTACATTAACCATGTTTGAGCTTTCTTGCCAGCCTTCCTGCATCCAAAGTTGCATATCAGAATCAAAATCAGCATGTAGCTGGCCTTGCAAATCGCCATCTGGAACTCAAGCCAGCAGTTTTGTGTGGGAAAAGCGGCTCCTTATCTTCGGATCCACACTTAGGGGGACCTGTGTCTCCATCTTCTGCTCATCTCATGCTGCTGGGACTCTGACACTTGCTATCGTAGGGAAGGTTCTCATTAAATATATGTGGGGAAAAAAATAATTGAATCATCTGCAGGGTGTTCTGACTTGAGCCATGTTCCTCTCATTTACCCTTGGGGGTTAAATGGGGGTAGCAGTGCCTTTGCTGTTGGTCGGGGGAGGCCGCAGGGTGGCCCACTCCTGGTAAGGCGGTCCTGACAAGACATCACTGGTCTAGATTGGGGGTGGGAGCTGGTAGTGGTTCCGTGGCTTTCCCGGAGGACAAGTGATCTGCTTGGTGGGGAGAACCAGGTGGTTCTCTGATTATATTGAGATGGATGGAAGGACGGGGGTGGGAGGGAACCTCCCTGGGGGAGAAAACTAGGCCTGGGAAGAGGTAGGGGACTGCAGAACCCGAGGCCAGGTCTCCAGCAAGTCTGGCATGGGGTGGGGGAGGGTGGCAGAATGCTGGGTTTAAGGAGGCGAGGAAAGGCTGTCCCTCCTCCGGCAGGGTGATGCTGGGCAGGGGAGGGGGCCTCTGCTAAGCTAACTGGAGAGGAAATCTAAGAGCAGGGTGGAGAAATCAATCTACTGTGGTTTGTTGAGAACAAGGAGCATTTTGAGATCACCCGCTCCTCCCTCTGAACCAAGGGCTTGAACGACCGACCGTAGAAGCAGCCTCACCTTTAGCCTTGCTGCTTCTGTCTTTAGTCTTATCAAAACTCAGAATTCGAATCCAGAGCACAGAGAAATATAAAACGGAATAAAGGGGGCCCCAGCAGACAGGCTTTGGCTGCTCCTACAAGCCTGTGAAAACCAATTTTACCTTGAGTTCCAACTGCAGAAACGTTATCTCGTGATTCAAAGAGGGTCTGGACCTTCAAGCTGAGTTGAGGGTTAACCTGTGTCCTCACTCTGTTGAGTGTCTGTCCCCTCCCACCCCCGGTGGCCAGCTTTACAGGCTTGTAGAGAACTTGCAGCAGGTGTTGGCTGCAGGCTGAAGGGACTGGGATATTATGTCCATTTGGCAGCAGAGGTAGGGTGGCTCAGGGCTTGGTCACCCTGGAGGGTCCCAAGCAAGCCCCTGTGCTGGGGCCCAGCGTCAAGCACAGGCACTCATGTGTGCAGGGAACCACTGTATAACTGTGTACTTGCCCCCTTGTAGGATGGCCCCTTGCCGGTACTGCCTCTGTGCCAGGCGCGTATTTATTTACTGCGCTTGGGGCCTGGGCAGTTTAGCTTGATGGAGGGTCGTGTTTGGCCGTGGCCACTTCACATACGTTTTGATGCCCAGAGTAGTAGAAACCGTGTGGATTTCACAATGGGGGCGGGCTCATCTGGACTGTAATTTGCCCGCTGCTGTGTCCTGCCTTCTCAGAGCTCGTTTTCTTTGGCTCCGGGCTGTCTCTCGGAGGTGGTCGTGCGGCGGGACGGGACCCGGCGCCGTGCAGTCAGGGAAGGAGACTGGTGCAGGGCGACCTCGACACGACCCGGCGGAGGACGCAACTAACTCCAGGGACGACGAGCGAGCCCCACACAACTCTCGCCCGCCGCGGGGAGGACGCCGCGGTGCGCCCGCTGACCCGCGGGCAAGGTGACGCACGCTTGCGGGCGCTCGCTGCCTTGACTTCCCCATCCCCGCGCGGGGGAGGGGCCCGAGCGGCGCCGAGCGCAGAAAGTGCGCGAAGGGGACGCGGCGGCGAGCGGCACACGTGACGGCGCCGCGCCGAGCCGAGCGGGACCCGGCGGCGGCGGCGGCGGCGGGCGCAGCGGGGCGGCCCCGAGCGGCGCGGGCGGCCTGGAGCCCCGGGAGCGGCGCGCGCGGCCCGGGCCCAGCCGCCGTCCCGGCCTCGCGCTGCACATTCTCTCCTGGCGGCGGCGCCACCTGCGGCAGCGTTCGCCCGAACATGGCGACACGGAGCAGCAGGAGGGAGTCGCGACTCCCTTTCCTATTCACCCTGGTCGCGCTGCTGCCGCCCGGGGCTCTGTGCGCGATGTGGACTCAGACGCTGCACGGCGGCCGCGCACCCCTGCCCCAGGACCGGGGCTTCCGCGTGGTGCAGGGCGAGCCGCGCGAGCTGTGGCTGTGGGCGCGCGAGGGGCCCCGGGGGGCGGACGAGAAGCCGCTCCGGAGGAGACGGAGCGCTTCCCCGCAGCAGGAGCCCATCAAGGTGTACGGACAGGTGAGCGACCGGCCACGCGCCTTCCTCGGCTCTTTCCTCTCCCCGCGCTTCCTCATCCCGGCATCCATCCTCTGCGGTCGCCTCCCAGGTGCAGGCACCGCTGGGGACTTCCCGGCTTGCATTTGTGTTTCCCCCCCCTTGCACGAGTACAACCGTCAGCACTTGAATTGCATTGATCTTTCCTTCTTCCTGGCGATTTTAGCAAACGTCTTCCAGGTGAACTCGCGGGGTGCTGTGCATAGTTCCCCAGGGTGGGTGCACCCCGGCGTAGTTTCCAGCAGGTAGAGGAAGGGTGCAGCTTCGTTTTACGTGTGGATGGAAAACGGGGTTTCCTTTCGTGTATACCGTCTGTTGGCAGTGGAGGCGAGGACCCTGCAGTTGCAGCGTACTTGCCCAGAGCAGGCGGGGGTGAGGTGGGGGTTTCTACGCCACAATTAAGATGAGCAAACCTGAAAGCTGACTTGCTCTGGTCAGAGCAAGAGGTGTGCATGCGTGTGTCTGTGTTAATGTTTGTGTAAGGGCTGAATTTTGTTGTTTGCTGGGGGGGGGGAGGGTCTATCTATTCCACCTCCCCCTTGGAGATACGGACTTTATTTTTGGACAGGGATATTAACCCGTGGCACCTAGAGATTTGAGAGACTGCAAGCATTTGGTGGGCATTATTATTCAGTAACTGATTTATGTCTATCCAGGCAATGGGTTTATTAGATCATAAGTAACATGAATTTCACTTTTATGGCCAGACTTACTGCTAGGAATAGCAAACCGAGTTTGTGGGTTAGTATCAGCATTGGCAAAATTAATTTGACCATGTTCTTTGCCTCATGAGACTCCCAGCCCTGTGGTTAAGATTGATATCGGCAAAATTGGAAGGTCAGTTGGGGTGGGAGGGAGTGGGACCGGAGGAGATGGCAAATGGCATGATTTTTAGAGTCAAAATGTTCCCATTTAAAGTAGAAGTTAAAGACGAGTCTGAGTTTTGCCTCTCTTCACTGATTTCCTTTAGTCATTTCTTCAGGAAATATATAGAGTTAAATATTCAACCCTTAGAGCCAGGAAGAACCCTATAAAAACCATCTCACTGATTGTGCCATTTTGTCAATAAAGAAACAAGCTGGGAAAGGTGAAGGGACTGGCCCAAGGTCACGTGGGACAGAGTTGCCTGCTGTTTCGTTTTTTGTTGGCATTGTCCTAGTGACCTTTGGGTGATCAAATAGTTGCGCTCTCATTATTCAAGTCTTCTTAAATAACTCCTTTCTAAAATAAAAAAATATACGGCTATAAAGGGGGCTGGGATGGTGGCAGGTGAGTGGGAGCGTCTGATTTCCATCAACCATCAGGCTCCGGGAAAGAGCATGTGTCGAGGGGGCATGTAACTGGTACTGGCAAGGGCTGCTGGAGCCTGCCTGCTTGGTTCTTTTGTGGGTCCTGACCTTCTTCCACTCTTCACCACCATCTGAAACTTCTTTCTGTATGTGGAGAAGACAGCAGGGTCCTTGCTCTCAGCTGGGACAGCAGCATCCCCATGTTGGGTGGGGGTGGGGGAAGCAAGAGAGACTGCCTTGTTCATGGAGTCTTAACAGCCACCCAGCTCTGCTGTCTTGAATCAGCTCTCTGGGGGCTGGGAGTGGGAGTGCATTTTTTCTGGAGCTTATGCCCCTTGCAGCTATAGTTTTGGCTGAAGAAAGAGCTTCCTAGGGCGGGGGGGGGGGGGGGGCGCGCCTGGATGGCTCAGTCAGTTAAGCATAGGACTTCGCAGCTCAGGTCACGATCTTGTGGTTCATGAGTTCGAACCCCGCCTCGGGCTCTGTGCTGACAGCTCAGTGCCTAGAGCCTGTTTCAGATTCTGTGTCTTCCTCACTTTCTCTGCTCCTCCCCCGCTCGCACCCTGTGTGTGTGTGTGTGTGTGTGTGTGTGTGTGTCTTTTTCTCTCTCAAAAAATAAATAAACATTTAAAAAAAAAAAGAGCTTCCTAGTCTCAAAAGTATGCATACAGGTGCCATTTCTTGCTTGGGTTTGGTTTGTGAGGGCTCCTGGGATTTAGGGCAAATTAAAGATGAACTGTTCTCATTGGGAATGACTCCCAAATCCTTGGCTTTTATATATCTGAGCTAACCAGATGGAGTTTGGTTCAGGTGAGGAATGGAGAGCTAGCCGGTGAACTCCTAATGAGAAATTCCTACCAAGGGTGAAGGCCCAGGGCAGTGTTTTCTCTTCTTTGAGGCCCGAGGTTAGTTAATAAAAGTGGGATTCACTTGAATGTTTAAGGATCTGAGTTAGATAGAAGGAAGAACTTCCCGGTACTGGGCTCTCTGCCGCAAGCATGTTTGGCACAGCCCTTTCAGGCTGAAAGCACCAGAGTCAGTGACTGAAGGGGTTTGGCATGCTCCTCTTGGAGCTCCAGAGGAATGACTTTTCTAGCAAGGGTGACCATTTGCCTCTCTTTTCCCTGGGACAGACCTAGTTTGTAAGTTGTCGGTGCCAGTTATGAAAGCGCTGCCTTCATTCTCCAGTGTCAGGGTGCGGACTATAAATTATATGGCCATTCTGCTTCTAGCTCTGAGCCAAGTTCACTTCATTCCCCCTCTCCCCTCACCTTTAACTTTTAAACCTAAGGAATTGCAATGTTTCCCTGGAGATGGGCATGCAAATGAGAGAGGGCGGGACATGCAAATGAAAGAGGGTGGGGGCATTGTTCATCCCTACTCTCAGAAAGTTTTCAGTTTAAGGGGGTAGATCTAGCAGATGCAAATACAGGCGTGTAACCGTACTGGACAGGAGCAAATACACAATAAAGCGGCTACGACTCTAAGGCCGGGCGTTAGTAGGTTGTGTGATACGGGAGGGCATGTGAGATGGAGGGATAAAGGGCCAGCGTGCTCAGACACTGCAACTTCTTGCCCTCTGACCTTTGACTGAGGTTAAGTGGATGCCTGGAAACACAGATTAGGGGATGGGAGCAGAAACTGACCAAAAATGCTGTAGGGGTGATGTTGAGGCTGCCAGCTTCAGGAACAGAAGAGCTTTTGCAGGGAGATGGCTAACCTGCAGCTGAGAAAGAGCACTGTGTTACAGGTTCTCTTTGGCTCCACTCACCTGCAGAGCAGACTAGTCATGATTATTGTGATGATATTCATCCTCATGTTCTCCAGCGTGGGAGACTGGTTTCTGCTGTGATTCCTTACAGGCGTGTTTGTAATAATAAGATCTGGTAACAGCAGTGAAAACAAGTTGCCATCAGAAATTAGGACTTTTCTGTCCCAAGTTCAGAGTGTAGAAGTTTGAGCTCCGCCTAAAAAGGGTTCCAAGTCCAAGCAAGGGAACACCATCATTCTTGCCACACTGAGTTTCTTCCAGACTCTACGTCTGCCCCATGCCTTTGTATCGTCATCCTTGCTTTTCCTCTGAGATGGTCTTCTCCCACACCTGTCTTTGCTCACAAAGTCCCTGTTCCCTTCTTCAGCATCCAAGGAACACCGCAAGCATTCCCAGGCTCCCGTGGGAAGAGTTCTTTGGAGCTTGGTTATGGCTGTGGATGCCTCGTGTTATAATTGCCTGTTTGTCTCATCTCCCAGTTTGCTCCTTGAGGGCACGGATCAAGCCTTTCTCTTCTCTGTGACTGGCACTTGGGAGGCCCTTCATGAGTATTTGTGGACAGACTGCCCACTTAGAAGAGGAGAAGCCCAGAGCGTAGGAAGCACATCCAAGTCACAGAAAAGGTATTTGGGAGGAGGACCATGGCAAGCCCACAAACGGAGAGAGAAAGTGGGTCGGCCCTCTCAGTGGTGAGGGTAGTGAAGTCCCCATGTTGCTATGGTGCCCTGGGGGTTATTTTGAACAAATAGCTGGGATTCTGTTGTGCAGAAGCCTCCCTTTTAGGGCCATCATGGTATTGCTAATGGTATTGTTTTGGGGAGAAATCCTTTGGAATGAAGCGCAAAGCCAAACAGGATTTACAGGTTTATTTTCCTTCCAGTGAGCTCTCTCTTCATAATTCCTGCTTTTTTAGAGGCCAGGGAGTATTCAGTGTCCTGATTTGAGACCGAAAATAAAGTGTCTGTTACAGCACAAGGCCCTGGGACAAAGAGCCTCCTTTGGGGGTGGAGTACTTGTGGCTTTAGATCTCTTTGGAGTAGATTTTTACACGATACACTTGCTTGGGAAAGAATTGGTTGGTTGATTCTGACGTTAGGATGCTTGACCTGTTTGCTTCCAAAAGATGAGAAGGCAAAGCATTCGTTGTTTCATATCAGCTTCTATGTAGGTGAAGAGTTGCCTGGTGTGTTGGGTTCGTTCGGTAAAGGACGTGACCTTGAAAAACTTCCTGGTTCCACTTGGCATCACTGCTCTTTGCTTAGGCTCTGGCCACCGTTTAGTTCATTAAGGGTTTGTACATCTTGGGGCTTGGTGAGGGGGAGGCTGTGAGAGGTGGAAGGAATGGAGGAAGAGGGGAAGGGGGAGGGGTGAGGCGATGGAGAAGTAAACAGATAAAATGGAAAGCCACTTTAGCCTTCAGTGGGTAATACGTGTTTAGAAGATACAATTTGTGCAAGAATATAGTGAGAAATACATTTCCCTCCCTCTTGCATCCCCTATTTATGTGCTGCCTCTTCTCAATTGGCAGCCACTGTCCTCCATTTTTTCTGTATGTCTTTCAGGAAACATTCTATATACATATGTGGCATGTATGTAAAGAAAATTTGGAACTTGCAGTATCAGTGGCTTTCTGTTATCCATAGCTCCCGATACCATGAATAATGAGATTCGCTCTTACTCCAAAATGTATTTATGGCATATGACTATCAAAAGGTAGGGACTTAGGTACAGTGTCATAGTGTAAAGTAGGTTGTCACTTTTCCTCCAGGCCAAGTGAAAGAAAAGGCAGTCTCAATGCACAGGCCAGGAGAGCATCATGGTAGCCCTTGTTTGTTTGTTTGTTTCTTTCTTTTTTTATGTTTATTCATTTTTGAGAGAGAGAGAGAGCATGAGTTGGAGAGGAG